GTGGTGGTCCTGACACCAAGACACTTCTGGATTCATGAATTTTGCTTTAAATCCACCTCTGCTCAGCTTCCAAGTGGAAAATTAACATTGGCAATCTATGTGTTTCTAAAAGAAAGGGTTGTACAGCCCTTGCTAGAATTTCCCAGGGCCTTGGCCTCCCCCTAGCCTCTGTTTATCTGGGAAAAAGCTATGCTGTAAGTCACCAGAGTCTGACCACAAGAGGTTTGGGGTTTTGTCAGGAAGAGCAAAACCATGTTCTTCAAACGTCTGATGCAAAAATTCCCCATCTCTCTCAAGTAAATGTTATCAAATCACCCCACTGTTGTGGGAGGGGACCACAACTTTCATGCTTACTTTGCTAGCCATCATGATGTTCATCAGCCGTGTTGTGGGGTGAATGACAGATTCAGCCTCCTTGCCAGAGAGATCTTTAAGTGATTGTCTGTTTAGTGTTAACAGTTCATCCCTTGGGCTCAGACAATCATCCCTTAAAAAAAAAAAAAAGAAAAAAAATGAACATGCATATAATTTTACGAAGAACAACATGGCACTATTGTGCTACGTGTCTCACTAACTGAGGAGTCAGCTGTAATCCTCCCTTTGTCTTCAACAGAGCTGCCATGAGACGTCTTGATGTGTGATGCACCCCAGCCCCTGCTAGATTTTTTTCCCTGTTGCTCTTTTCTGCTCAGTCCTGGTGATCAGTGGCTTTTCCACATATAGCTTATATCCAGGCTAAGCTGACTGCATAGGATATCCCAAGTCAGGCAAAACAGCCTCTGATCAACTTGCAAATGCAAGACTATAGGCTTTACTCCCTTTAAGGAACTTTGGCTCACATTGCTTTCCAGTGGCCTTGCTAGGCTGGTGGTATCCTACATTGCCCTTTAATAGGGCAACCAGGAAACCATAATTTTAAAACTTGATGTTATGTACAATCTTTCATTCAGCTCTTATTTCTTAGTGTAATTGAGAAGCATTAGATCCCTGCAGGGTCACAGTTTTATATTTCTAGAACCTTGGCCTGTCTCTCACACTGGAAGCATTGCAAAAAATTATTCCCAAACATCACTGCCTTTCTCTGACACAGAGCTTCAAGCCATAGCTTGTAATGAAAAGCTGGTCAAGCAAAATGTGTGCAGAGAAATGGCTCTATAATAAGCTTGCTGGCTCCACATGTATTGTACCTGTTTGCAGCACCTCTAGCAGGCACGTGGCTGCTTGTGAATCCTTTCCAGAGAGCTGCACAGTTGGGACTCCTAGAGAGCTTGATTCCTGAGCTGCTGTTCCCTGGGGTTGTACACAGCCTGCATATGCAGCTGTCCTGATTCAGAAGATGAAAGGTTGCATGAAAGAAAACATACTGAGGATGTTAAAAGTTAGTTACAGTTATCCTGAGCCTTTTTAAGAAATGCAGAAAATGTTCTTAGAACCAGATTGCCTCCAAGTAGAACAGGAACAGGCCTTTAACATTGTGCAGTTGTGAAAGACTGATTGTATTACAGAGTCAGTGTCTTAAAAAAAAGTTGTTTTCCTTAGGACTTTGGTGGCTTCTGGCTACAAGAGGGAAGTATTAGAATAGAGTGCTCCTTTGCATAGAGGGGAAGCGAGCAGATAATAGACTTTTCACAGTAACTGGAAAAGTTTCTCCTATGCTAACTATTATAAGAAAAGACAGGGAAGAAAATAAACATGTGCCAGAAAAGGAAGTAGCCTGGAAAACAGAAGAGGTCTGAATGGAAAATAAGCATATACAAAACACTAGAAGCTCCACCCCTGCTGCTGACTTGTTAAGTGGGGGCAGGGAGCAGCGGGGACTGCAACAGTGGAAGATTCTTCATCCACTCCAGACTGGTTGAGGTAGCTTAGTCTGTGTGCTGCATCTGGAGGACTAATTATAAGCACATTTTTAATACAGTTATGAATTATTAACATATGGCCATACAGAAAGACAAATAGCATCTTAAGTCATATGAGTAAGTAAAGCAAAGAATGGATTGACTAAACACATGAAGAACAACACATTTGTCCAGGAAATACACTCCTGCAGCACAAATGCATGAACACTTAAAAATTCTAAAGAGACAAGGAAAGCTGGAAAGTTAGCACACAATTTATTTTCCATTTGTTTAGTAAATCTTCTAATTCAAATATTCACTTGTTCTGCTCCCAGCTGAACCCACCTCCTCTGCCCTTGCCAGCCTCTCCATACTGCACAAAGTGAAGAGAGCTCTCAGTGTATCCTGGATCTGGGCTTGTTCCCAAGGGATTTGTATGACTGAGGTATAGATTTCTGAACGGGACACAAATTTCACATGTTAGGACAGGCCACAAAATACAGCAGTGGTCAACTGTCTGTATTGCTCCTGGATCCCCTGGTCAGAGTGGCATGAACCATTTCCAGTATTCTGTAGTCCTCTGACAACATAAGGAAAGCTGTGTAGCCACCTTCTTCACTACCGGTAGGGCTTCATTTCTGCCCTAAGCACAGTTCATCCAGCCCTGAGGGTTAGAATCATTATGTCCTTTCAGTGCAAATCAGTAGGGATCACATCATACCTGACTGACAGCAAACACAAGCTTCAAATTTACAGCAATGTCAAAAAAGGTCATTATCTTCCAGGCTGACTGTTGAAGCCTGGCTCCCATTCTGAAACCTGGCAGAGTAAATCTAAGGCTGTGAATGAATGAAGTATTTAACTTTGAGCCCTAGGCTCGCTGCAGGCTGAATTCCGCAGGTAGTGTATAAGGGCTATACTTGTATTGACTGACTTGTTAACTCTGTGGGTTTGCTTCAATTCCAGATTTTCTGCCATTAGTGAAGAGTGTCTGAATTTTACGAAGTCTCTTTTGTTCATGAAGAGTGCTTCCTGTGAGTAAGCATATAGGCATGGACAGAATTCTGTTTTAAACCAGTTTGTTTGAACTCCAGTATTATATTTGGAGCTTCTATATTTACTTTTCACCCAAGGTAAATACCTTGGGAAACGCATACTCGAAATCAGGACTACATTATATTCTTTTTATCATAGGGAAGTCCTTTGAAGACTTTGGCGTGGTAATAAAATAAAGATTAAAATTCTGATGTCTTAAATTTCAGATTTTGAGTAGCAAACAATGTGAGCTACCTTTTCTGTTTGTTTGCTCTAGTCCTTTGTTTTAGGTACCAGTAAGAAATTACAGGCCGGATTCTGTATACATGAAGCATCTGTTACACTCACAGGGTGTTCAATAGGGTAGTGTGCTTGTTCTAAACCACGAGAAGTGTGGTAGATAGATATTAAAGGTAGGAAATCATTCTGCTGGCTGGCTAAGTATTTTGAGACCTCAGCTGATCATGGATTGGGGCTGTTGTGAATGAATAATTGTGTTATGGTGTCAGTGTTTAAAAAAAGTTGTTTTCCTTTCTTTCCTATAGTCAAAATTCAAGTTTGGATTTGCTGACATCTCTCCTTAGGAGTCCTTACTCTTGTGTACTGCTCCCTTGAAATATCTATATATTCTCCCTCAGATACTGGTCAGACACACACAAAGAACTTTGCGTAGCTGTTCTCTCTGTTTTGTTTCATTGTTGTTTTTAACTTAGTGGTGGGCCTTTTCAGACTGTCCCCAATTCATCTCTGTTAAGAGCACAGTCATATGCCTTTCCAATAACTTGTTCATGGTGTACAGCTTCTGCATTCGTGGTGTTTATAAAAATCTTCATAATTAATTGTCCAAAAGTAATTTGTCTCTCATCAGTTTTGCAGGACATCACAGAGTGCTGTGGGTTTGGCACTGAGTTTTTTCATTGCAGCACCATGTAAATCCTTTGGGGAAAACATTGCATTTTGTACAATGGGACACATGCCAGGCTGGAAATTGTGGGTTGCATTGGGACATACATGTGAAATAACACCAAATAAAAACTGATATGAATATTCTTTCCAAGAGCAATACAGTGCATGCACTTAGTCAGAAGGAAAGTAGAGGTTAAATCCATTGTACACTGCAGAAAACCTTGGGAACAACTTTTGTTTAAATCTGTAGTCATCTTGCCAAGTTGGGCCACATTTCATATAAGTTCTAGGTGTCAGTTGTTTCTGCAATTCATTTATGTGAATTAATTTAAAAAAAAAATTATTGGTCTGTAGGAAGATGTGGGAAATATCTGTATGTTGTCAGCATCTGCACTTTTTGAGGTCCTGGATGTAGATCAATATCTTCACATCCAAGTTATTGCAACATGACAGAAAATTAATAAAATCTGTTCTTCAGAAAAATACACATTTGACCAATTCGTGTGCCAGAAGTCAATTTGCTTTGGGTTTTGTTCCTCAGTATCTTTTATTTCCTATCTCACTTATTATTTTATGCATAGAAATAGTGCTAATGGTTCCAAGGGTAAAGAAACTATTTATTTTTCATCCTCCTCCTTTTTGAAGTGTCCTGCTCATTTTGAAAGGTGTTTTATAGCTGCGAATGTAGTGAATGATGAAAATTTGCTAATTGTTGTCAGATTTGTTGTGTATGCAGGTGGATTCTAGGTCAACCTTGCCTACTCAGGACATATGTTTAAGCGCGTATTTGCTGCCAGTGCATAAAATCTCTCTGCTTATAAGGGGCTTTGCCACAAAGCACTTCAAGACTCTGGGGAAACTTGTATCTGCATTATAATATCCACTTATTGCTGTGAAAACAAAATAAAGTAAGTCTGTGGAAGTGCATTGTAAGCAAAATTTGTTTATAAACTGCATCTGCTTGGCTGAAAGATGAAAATCAAAGGTTGAGTTCAAAAGCCTTCTTGAATGCATTTTTTGTCATAGGTGAGAGTAGATTAATTTTTTTGTGTGTTTAGTTATGGAAAAGTAATTTGCACGTCCAGGCCAACTCTGTCCTCCTGCCCCCCTTTTTTGTCATGTGAAATGCAAAGCTTCTGAGGATGTTTTTCTATCTGCCATTTAAAAGATTTCATTTTCCTTCATGCTCTCATTATACATTTATAGCCCAGAGTCCCATCTCAAAACATCTAATTCCAGATGTTGTTTAGAAATAAGGGTAACCATGGTATCTGTGGAAAACTGAAAAACTTTTGTGCACTGTTAACGTAAGACACAGTAGTTAGATTGTCTGAAATGAAGTAAAGTGTTATACAAGGCTAGTTCAAGTAAGGTCTTTGACTCAGTTAACCAAGCATATGACAATGAGCTGATTGACTGTCGTTTTAAAAAAAATTAAAAAATAAAAAAAATCTGACAACAGTACAATAATAAATTTAAATATTTAGTTTTTCTGGCCTCCTGACTGTGAAATAGCTGGGATTTCCAAGTGGAAGAGCAAGAGAATACAGTCTTTGGTGATTTTCTTCAAGAAGCATTTTTTTTTCTGCATCAGTTCTAACAAACAAAGGGCCGGAGTCTTTCTGGCATAAACTGATGTGACTCCACCGATTCTGACGTACTCTAGCTAATGCCCTGCTCTTTTCAAAATATTTATAGTCGATGTAATTCATTTTCCAAGCAGCATATTCGCTTTGCAATTAATAAAATGGCAGAAGCTAGAGAGCCTTTGGATAGTGCAAGAAGCGGGGAATAGGATTAAGGTTCTGCCCTAGACAGACGATTTAGCACATCAGATGTTACACACGGACCTTTCCACCCATCATCTAACCTTTGGTATATTTTTCTGGGAGCCTTTGCCCTGGCCCACAATTTGCAGCACACACTGTCTTGATATAACAGCCTCTTTCCCAGCTTGCTTTGGGGATAACACAGCCCTGAAGTCACAAAAGCAAGAAGACTGGGAAGACAGAAAGAGAGAACAAGTGGGAAAAGGGAGGAGAATGCATAGATGTCTAAATAAATGCAGTCTCCTCTCCTGGCTTTGTTTTTCCGTCCTGCCCACAGGCTCGTGTTTGAGACATTACAGTCTGTTGCTGTAACACTTTTCCTGGTACCAAAGGGCCAGGGTGGTTGCATAAAGGCAAGTTAGTAAAAATGTATTCTGGTGATGACCAATGGAGAAAAATGACCTTTTGCTTTTTTCCTCCCTCAAGCCAAGGGCCAGAGACCAAAGGAAGCAAGGACAGAGAAGTGTCCAGAACTCAGTGGAGCCAAGTAGTCAGACCAGCTTGGATCCAGTGTTTGCATAAAGAGTCAGCCCTTCCCTGTTATAGTTTATTCTAGATGCTGTTTCAACCCTGCTGCCAGCACCTCTGTTTGGTAACTCTCAGTGCTTCCCAGGGTGCTGGTGGTGCCATCTTCCACAGTGTTTGATGTGTCATTGCACAAGGTATTAGACATTGCTTGCAATTTTTTTGTTTACTTTTCCTTTCAGGCCACCTGAAAATTGCTGATTTTGTGAGAAGCAAACTGTAAAGGAGATCTGCTTGTTTGTACACTGACAAGCTGTCTTTCCAGCTCTGTCCGTACCAGACTAAACGTATCTCAACTTAGAAGCTAAGGGGTCCAGGAGCTGGATGACCAGATGACACCCAGGTAATCCTGGGTGCTCTAGACACAATGAGCAATAGTCAATGAGTGGATGTTGGAACACTGTAATCAAATGAATGAAGACTCTTCATCTGCTCTCATTGTTGTTGACAGTACACTAGAGAAGGGGAAAAAATCTCTGCTATTTAAAGTATATATGAAAGGAGATACTTTGAAGAGGATGTAGACATTAATGGATCAGAGTGAGACATTCTTCCCCAGGTGCTATCTCACAAAGCATAAATTGTTATTTGCTATAAGATCTTGATACAGCGTTTCTTTGCTTGGGTGAGCATGGTGATGTATTATTTGCTTCTAATGCTTTCCTCTACAATCAGGCAGGCAGAAGGAGAGAGATGGCTGGGAAGTTTATGAAGTGATAATCCTTAGTGGGAACATCTTTACTTGCCCCTCTGCTGAGCAACATATAGATGAATGAAGCTGCTGTTGTAAGGTGCAAAACGTGATGAGGACACAGCGAAGAAAAGGAAGGATGTGGCATTTGATAGGAAGTGGGGAGTAGTTAGGTGATGCACTTTGTTGCAGACATGATTCCTTCCCTGCTCCTGACTGTTGCGTTCTCTTCCCCTCACTTTACCTTCTTTAAAGTATTCCCTGGTCAACTGTTTCCTCTTTTCCTGTATTTTTAATTCCACACTCTCGCTTCCCTCTCCATTTCCCTTTTCCCAGATTATCTGCTGTTTCCTTCCATTCTCTGTATGCCGTGGCAGCAGCTTTTCTGTGACAAAAAATTACTGGAAATAGGACTGCAGCAGGGAAGTGAGATATCTGTGGCAGCAGGCTGGGGTCGAAGAAGGGCATTACAGCTAAGGACTGTTACACAAAGCCCTGTGTGACATATAGTGGCCATGTCGTGGCAGGATATGAATGACCATCTGGTCATCCAAATGTCTGAGGTAACTGTGTGGTTCACGTGGATGTGACACTGACAGAGGTTTTCGCCCTGATTATAATAAACCACTGAATAGTTGTTGATGGGCTCCTATTTAAGTCTTGCCTCAGCCTTATTTCCTTCTACCTCTTGTAACTTCTATGCAGGTGAAAGACCAATTCCTGTAGCTTTACATGTTGAATGTGCCACCATGCTGTTGGAAAGAAGTGGCCTAGAAGATGCAGTTATAAGCTGAAACCCTGTCATCTAGTGCTGCCCACATAGGTTCACAGTAAAAGTGGTAGGCAGCATCACAGTTAAATAACGCCCATCCTCTATTCCTCTATCCTTCTGGTGCACGTGTCATGTAAATGAAGAGTATGGATGCTTTGGTTAAAAACAAAAATACCTGCACAGGCACAAGTCAGTTTTTTGCATCTGGGGCCAACCTTTGCAATACTCTGTACAAGAGCCAAATTTGTCCAAAATACAAGGCTGTGGTCCCTTCACACACACATGCTAGCACTGTGCTGTGAGTGACATGATAGAGGAGCAGTGACATCAACTTGCAGTCCCACCCTAATCAGTGTAGTACCATTGACACCAAAATCTCTGCATATTTTGTTGAAGAAGGAACAAAACCTGGTATCGTCAGAATTTCAGCCTTCTGAAATTCTCTGGTGTATTATAAGATGTGAGTTCCAGCTCAAAGTCTTTTCTACAAGTAGTGCAATAAGAGCAAAGTGTTCCTGTGGGGATTCTCTGTAGTCTAATACAGGTTGTGATCATGCTGCAGTGTTTCCCTCAATGGCTACAGTAACATTTTCTATTGAAGACTGAAGTGAAAGGAATTGATGTCATGATGCATGGATGCCCTCTCTTCAAAAACACTCCTTACCTCTCTTTTCCTTATTGTGAGCAGCACCTAGTTTCTCAGACTGTTGGTAATGGGACATAGGACTATTCTTTGGGATCCTAAAGATTTGGGAATCACGAAAACACGCCTCTAATAGATATGCAGAAGTCCAGAAATTATGTTTGATTTGCTCATGATTTATGCAATTGTGAATCCTATGCAGTCAGCAGACTATGACTCAGAGAGACATTAAAGTTTTTGAACATAAGAGAGGAACCAGTATTTGGAATATTGATGTTCCAGGTTCCCCCTAAGCTCTGGAGAAGAAATGTACAGGGAGCATTAAGTCATGCAGCACTTTTAAATATTCTTCTCTCCTTCCAATATGACAGCAAAAATTAAGTTGTTCAGTACTGTGGGAGTTATTAGCACCTTCAGAGTCATGCTTGGGGCTGCAGGCGCTGGAAAGCAGAAGAATATTGGAATATCCTCAGCAACACCACAGAAAGCATGGAATCAATTTTCTTGAGCAAAGACAAGGATCCTTCAGCTCTGAGTCACACATCTTGAATTTCTGAAGTGTCACATGGAGATGGAGAGAGTGAGTGTCATGCTGGGACTTGAAAAATACTTGTTGACTCATTTCTTAAAGACAGAGGTCTTAAGCTTAAGCTCTCCAAGACACATCGTACAGGAAGATTGTTCTGATAGGCTTGTGCCATAGCGAAGACAGACATCGCTGCTTTCATAATGCAGGGCAGAGCCCCAGCAACAGTAGTACAGGGTAAGGTCAGTATAGCTGTTACAAAAGTTCATCCTATTTAGCATGCTGAGATAAGACTTTTTAGAATCACTCACTGATCCATGACTCTGAAAGGCATGGAAGATTGGCAGGTGTCATCTGAAGAGGTTTATATTGCTATGAGAGCTCTGGGAGGGGGAATTTAATGTACCCTTTGCCTACAATGGCACTAAGCAACCTAAATGCTGCTGTAGGGGACTGGGTTGCTGACTAATTTATGTCACCATCCATCCAGGCTCCTGACCCATCCTGTTCAGTGACACTAACACTCCAGCCTAAGAGTGGATTTATACTCTTAGCAGTTATATTTTATTTGTGCAATGGTATTAGTTAAGAGGCTTACTCTGTTCCCCAGATCCCTACTTCAGCTGCTTGCCAGCTATAAAAGTGAATGATCTAAACTTACAGTCTGCAATAAGATACTGAGTAGTTTCATATGGGTATGGATCACAACAGTTATTGCAGCCCTGCATATTTTGGACGTATGCAAGCAAATAGACTGTGACAGCTGACAGATAGCTAGGAAAGTGCTTCAGCTTTGTTAGAAAGGGGGGGACTCCGCAGAGGCCAGCTCCTCCATCACTTATGGAAGGAAATCAGCAGAGTGCATATGGACTGTTTCCAAAAGGGAGGAGCTGGTATGGTTTTGCAGGTGACTGAGCATATTTTGGGACTTGGGTCAGTGTCACCTATTTATGTCTTCTGCCAGAATGTAATAGAAAGTTAGCTTTTGTCCTCATGCTGAGTTTTTGCCAGGGGTTGACACACCTCACGGTCCAGAACTCTGTCCTGCTGCAGTCTTTGCCATATTGGGCTGCACGCTGTGATCATCAGCAAGAAACTCAAAAAGTAAGAGGAGATTCTGGTTTTCAATACCACTGTGCCACTATGTGTTTAGACATAGAGGTCTAGTTTTAGCCAATTTCTATCAAAGGTATGTAAAATAAAATAGAATATATAGGAAAGAAATATTTTAGGTGAAAGAATCAGTTCTTTCACATAAGCCACTATTTTCACAGGTAAAAAGCATATAATAAGGTTGTTGCCAGGAGGACACAAACTGTATTAAAAGACGTCACACTTGCAGTGAGGTCCCTTTTACACATCACACCAACAGGTAGAGAGAAAGTGGAAAGAATAGGATATGTTACTGAAAAGGAACTTTCTAAAATATATTGCTCAGACTGAAAAATTGTTTAGAACACTAGGGTTAACATAGTTACTTCTTGATTAAAGAATAATATAATATGAGGCTGTTAAGATTTTTTTGCATTTCAAGGAAAAAGTGACATCTCTGGTGGTTCTAGAGCCATTACTACCTTCTTCCTGAATCACAGAGCAAGAACATCTTCCTGCTGAATCTCCTGTATCTTTCATAATATTAATATAATTCATACTTGCACAGCTTGGTATCGTACTTTACAAATGCACTTTACTATAATGGCAGTTTTATCTGTTGAGCTGAATACTATATTGCAGGTAGAAAGCACCAGCTGTGCTGGTCTGAATACACCGAGAGCGGCCTAGCAGTCACTGATTTCAGCAGAACATCAATCAGCAGAGTGTAACAGCACAGAGCAACAACACAGCAGGGAAGCTAATACATTTCCATGCTCTTTATACAGAGCAGGAACACTGCAGGCTCATCGGCTCTGAAAAAGCCAAGTAGAATCCTGTGTTCCTGAGAAATATTAATTAATCAATTTAGGAACTACTGCAATGGGAAACATTACAATATACTGCACTGAGCTGCCTACCTTGGTGAGTAACTTTCTTCTCATGTTGTTGCAGTTCTCATTTGCTGCAGCTTTGGACTGGACAATGCTGGTGATCACACGTGGAGGATCAGGTGAGCTGTCTTCTGTTTCTGATGTGCGTGGCAGTTGTGTTCTAGGGCAGCAATCAAAATCCTCTTGACCCCAACTGGTAGAGATCTCAAAGGGATCAGGGTATTTCTCATCGGGACTTGACCCATCATCACTGTTTTTGGCATTGCAAAGTATAAGAGATCTTGAAATGGAGCGAAACTTTCTTGACTTCCTGTTCCCAGCATTGCTCTTTCGATCCATCTTCAGAGAGCTGGTGGTGCTGCTCTTTTTCGTATCGTTCTCCCATTTATGCGGCATGATACTTTCAATAACTTTCTCTGCTTCTCTGGTGCTAAATATTCTCCAGGAAAGGAAATATAAAAAGTAAGTTGTAATATACCCCACTTTCTCCCACTTAATAACCTACACTACTGAAAAGCCCTAACGAATAAATCGAATCAACAGAGCCTTTCAGTCTGCTAACAGCCACGTGATATCTCATGACTTGCTAATTCTGTTTCTGTGCAGTGCTCTACTAAATTCTCCTTCACCTTTACATTCTCTTCCCATGCTCCCCAAGCACAATGGAGTGCTTTTAATAAATGTTTTTGATGCTTCCATTGTGCTGCTTCCTTTGGGCTTCTGCTGAATTTGCATGTTGAAATCCCAAATTGAAAAGGAAGATACTTTAAAAGCATTATTCTATCCTCCTAACATTATTTGGAAAGAGGAAGCTCCTTGTGAAGTTCGATTCATGAAACCACTATAATTCAAAGAAGATTAATCAAATTGTCAAGGTTAAGTTCTCCACCTGGCACATCTGATTTGTAAGTGGTTTAGCAAAAGTAGATCTTAGCCGTGAGAGAGTAAGAAATGTCAGGCTGCTATAAAACTCCTACCTTTGCAGACCAGAACTCACTTAAGACCGTACATTTAACAGCAACAGAGAGATCCAGTGAAGCACTTAAGATGTGAATATCTGATTAGGGATTGCACTCGCTAAAGGAATACAGCTCCAATACATAAATCAAAAAGCATCCCATTACAGAAATGGTTCGTTTCAGTGTATGATTCAGCATACAAAATTAAGAGAAAATGGAAGAAATGCTATACAATCAGAAATGTGGCAGAAGTTGGAGAATTTATAAAATGTGTAAAGTAATAATCATGCTACGATAACAAAGGGGAGCTTTGATAAACTGTTTCCTTTTTCTCTCAAAAAAAGTTTTCTAGCAATATTTTGGTACATGTCTGTTAGTACTGAGAATTCAGTAAGAGGAAGTCTAAATTAATTACTTTGACTTTCTCATTTAGTTTTTATTATCGTTTGTTACACAAACTTTTCTGTTCTCTTCACAGTACCTGACTGGTAGTGTATGCTGCCATTCTAGAGAAAATACCTATTGAAACTAAAGGATTTGCATAAATCAAAGATGCTATTTGTGTTATATACAAAACTGAAAATCAGTGTAATTTGAAAAGCACTTGTCAAGTATACTATTGAGAGAAAAAGAATGTATATTATGCTCTAAACTGGGTTGTTGTGTTTGTCTGGGTTTGGGTTTTTTTTTTTCCCCTGCTTCTGTGCAGAATTAGGTATGCATGCACTTTGTACCTGAAATGCCCCTGGTGACGTAGAATTAGAAGGCAAACTTTCAGGAAAGGTGAGGCACTGGCACAGGCTGCCCAGAGAAGCTGTGGATGCCCCATCCCTGGAGGTGTTCAAGGCCAGGCTGGATGAGGCTTTGAGCAACCTGGGCTAGTGGAGGGTGTCCCTGCCCATGGCAGGGGGGTTGGAACTCAATGATCTTTAAGGTCCCTTCCAACCCAAACCATTCTTGGTCTATGATTCTAAATGCTCCTTACATCCACAACGATAAACACAGGCCTGCAAGTTCTGACCAAGCCAGATTCATTTAATAAATCCAAGCCAGCCTTACAATAAATCTGCAGGATTTTTTTTTATTCCCTCTCATACAAATAACCAAGAAAAACAAAAACAGACGATAAACACTATGCCATTGAGTACCTGTCTAAAGAAGTCACATGTCATTGCTGGACAAATATACAATTCAGTGTGAAACTAAATTTGTTTGGATTTGTAAAAAAAAAAAAATAAAAAATTTGCACATAGCTTTTTCAGGAGTAGCAAAAAAGTCCCTTCATCTCCCCAGGACAAGGATGTTTATTTGTCTACTACTTTCTGGCATTTTTGATAGGTAATGCTTCTACAGCCTTCCATCATAATTTATTTTCCATCATACCAGTCCTAATATTGCTCTGCTCCCTGATGTCTCTTTTCCAAAACAAAATTCCTAACACTACAGAAACTCATGCCCTGAGTATTGGAACTCATTGTATTTCCTAGCAGGACGCAACTCCAGGGCAAAGTTTAAGTTTGAAATTGTCCAGAGAACATGTCAAGTTTCCCAATGCTGGTGTGTTTTCTGCCCCTCTCCTGTGTGTCTTTGGGATCCTCGCTGCTCCTGTGGGAGAATCTGACCCCACTGGATAGGAACACTGGAAATGAAGTCACTGGCATCCCAGGCTGAACTAGCATTTTCTCAATCCCCTTTGGTACAGAAAATGTTTTACTTTTTTTCTTTTTTTCAGAGTAGGCTGTCTTCTTATGAATAACAAGATTTGCAACCATGGCTGAATGCAGCCACAGTGTGTATGGAGGACTGCCCAGCAGCACAGCCACGCTGCCTTCCTGTGGCACAGCGCACAGACTGAATAAAAGGACATCTAAGCCTACGGGTAAGGACACGGAGCGCAAAGGGACAGGGAAAGGTGTGACATGGAGCTCAGCTTTAACACATAGACTTTGTGGTTGACATGGGATCTTATTTCTCTAGGATTAATCTCCCTTCCTGCACTTTTGAGGGAAGCTACTTTTCAGAACCACTTTGTGGTAATTTATTTTGAAGTACGGAGTTGAAAAGTGCTATGAATTATATTAGAACAATAATTTGGAGAACCGAAAAAAGTAGCTGTTGGTGTCATTCAGTATCACAAGTTTGCAATTTTTTTGTATGCTTTTTTGTTGATTACATTAGTTAAAAGCTGATTGACACCCCCACTAATACATACAGATTTTCAAGGTTTAGAGATTTTGTTCGTTTGTTTTAAAAAAGACACTTTTTAGCGTTTTGATAAGCCTAAAGCTTTATTCTACTATAATATGTATGTACCTAATTGCAGTTTTTGAGTTGGGAAATTCCTGATAGCATTCCCAATGTATTGGGAAATCTATCTTGTAAAACTTGATGTTGCTTTTTCTGTATGTCTGAAGGTAGGTAAACATGCAATCTGGCCCATTAGACCAGAATGTGGAGGTGAAAAAGCAGTCGGATGGCTAGGATGAGGGGAACTTCTGCAAGTACCTCAGCACCTGGGCAGGAACCAACAGAGCTAACTTGCCGAAGTTGTGTGGAATGCATGTCACTTTAAAGTCTGCAACAGGGGTTGTTGCTCCTTCTGTGATTCTGGCAATCACTGTTAGACACTAGCAATAAGAATGTCAGAAATGAGCCCAAGTTGCACATTCAGACGTAAACAATCTTGCCTATGGGGGAAAATTAGAAGAAATAGCACTTTTCATCCAAGGATTTCAATGTTGTACAAACATTAACTGCACTCTTACTTCCCCAAAGAGAAACAACTAAAAAAAGAGCTATTAAGCACACAAGTAAGCAGAGGACTTGATAGCTTAATGGTCAAAATACAGCTCTCTGGAGACTGGCATGCTAGAATAAAGGATGGAGAGATGCAGGAGCCCTTTCTCTGCTCTGCCTGAAACTGCAGAGCTTAAGAGGGAGCACTGCTATCAGTACTAAGTGCTCCAAGAGGTGCCTTTCTCACTATGCTAAGCATCTGGGATGCAGGGAACACAGAAGCACCTGTTGAAACAGTGAAGGAAACATTGTTTTAAGTGCATTCTGCCATCCCACCCCCCTGCAGTGCTCCTGAGGAATTTTACTTTTAAGCAGAGAGAACATCTCTTTTGCCCTGCTGCATCAGCTATTTCCTCCTCCCCCACCCAAGCTCCATCATCTCAAAGACCAAGTTTAACCCTGAATGACTTACCCAGTATCTCAAAGCAGGCCAGTGGTTGAGGTGAAAATGAACCTAGTAGACCTGAAGACTTCCAGTTAAATACTTGCTGTTGCTAAAAGTGTTAGATCACAGCCCAAGTCTTAACTAAGGCAACATCCTTTCTGGAGCTGCTGATTCTGAGTTGCATAAGTGACAGAAATATAGGAGGTACCAAAAACATAGTCTATAAGTTTTCCAATAAAAATATCCAGAAATGTTATTTTACGCAGAAAACAATATCACAAGTGCCAGAGAAGCTTTATGATTCATTGCCATCTTCCACCAAATTTAATTCAAGGTATTGGTGGCATGGACAGTTACTTCAAAGCCAATTCTCCAAACCATTTATCTTTTCTTCCAGTGCACTCACTGCTTGTCATTTTTCTCTTGCCATTCTTATACCTCCAGCGTGCCTGATGGAAGTTGTCTGTGGTTTGTAATGCAAACCAAATGTTCTTTCTCTATTTTTTTTTTCTCCAAGCTTTATTTTTCCAGCTTTAAGTCTAAAAAGCCTTAACTCAGTCTGTCTTTTGCAAACAAAATACATGATTTGAGCTGTGACCATTTGGTTCAAATTTTTGGTTGGATATTAAACTGAGCATTTACAAGATGCAAGTAATTTGGTGTAGCTCCCAGACTGAATGCGAATGCTTTTCTGTTAACCAGACAGTAGGAAAAATAGAACTTTTCTTTACTAGCAAGACCAAGATAAGTTTTACATTAGCAAGTGCTAACAGCATGATATCTTGCATCCCATTTTAATCTTGATCTTGTGATCTTTGTCAGATTCACTACTGAGCAGTACTATTAGCACCAACTATTGCAGATGTCTAGTATTTGCAGGCAGTAGGAAGAGCTAGAGATTTGGAAGTTTTCTAATAAAGAGTAAGAAACTCTTGGAGAGTTGAATTTGCTGTTAAAAAAAATTAAAAATTAAAAATTTCTTATTGTGAAATAAAAATTCAAAAGGAGGAACTTACAACAGCAAGGCAGACAAACCTGACTCCTGCAGAAGGCTGTTCCTCTTCATAGGCCTGGCAAAAAAAGACAGAGTGAATAATTGAAAACACACTCTCATGGTGTCACGTGGCTCAGTTTCAGTAATTCTGCTCAGTACATTGGAACGGAGCTATTGTTTCCTAATTGAAGAAAATGTCAGCAAGGATAGATAAACAAAAGCAATGGGATGCAGTATTGGGGAAGCTGTTTCCAGCAGGCTCCCAGCTACCTAGAAAAGGCAAGACCATTTAAGGAGTGTGTGTCATTTGTTTTTACCCATCGCTCTCTGGTCCTAGGATTGATGGGGTTCAGGCATACTAAACCTACTTGAGGGAGGTGAGGGAGACCAGCCATAATCCATGTTAATCAAGTGCAGGATTTCCTGCTGGAGGCTGAGATGGCAAGCATGTTTCTCGTAATTTTTAGCAGATATTTTAAACATTAAGCTAGTAAGAATTTCATAGGCCGCTTCTGCTCCAGGAGCAAAACATAATAGGAGCAGCTTTTGAATGCCAAGCCCTTGTATTGTGCGCCACGAAGTGGCATGGTCCCTTTAACCTACCAGTTCTTATATACTTTCCCCTTTATGGGCCAGACTGCAACTTTGTGATCCAACCTGACCAAAGACTCAGAAAATTGTTGGTTTTTCCATAGAGCATCCAGGAAATGAGAACTATGCCATAAATTCTAAATTGTCTCAATTCCACCTTCCATTTGCTGCAAAGTAGATGGTTCACAGTCTATTCTACTATTGTGGCGACTCCCTCCATGAAACACTGCTTGAGTTGCATCCACCTTCGATTGGGGGAGCAGGCAGGAACCCTTCTGCCATGTCCCTAGGCATACTTACCTGTTTGTCATCAATCACACAGATCAATATGTCAGTGCCTACCTGTTGATCCTCAGTTCTGCTCACACTGACAAATAATAATCTTGCTGCAGAAACCATCTCTGGATGAATTTTTATGATAAGATACATAAGGAGTTTGTAAATAATAATAATAAAAAGTTCCATAACAGAAAAAATTGTCTCTGAGGCAGTTAATGTTTGTTTATTGAAATAGTGAGGCCTCCTTGGAATGTTCTCACAAACTATAAATTCCATACTTTACAGGAAAATATAAACAGAAACCTGAATTTTACACCTGGCCCTGCATGGTCATGGAAATAAACAAGAGAGTGCTTAGACACCTGCTGTCCTCTGTGTTCTGTGGCTGAAAGGTCCTGGCTTTATTGGTCTGTCACTAAACTTTCAAAAGAGAGACAAATTTTAAAATAGGCTTAAAATACTGCACTGATATAGTCTCATGTTTAGTAATCCTGTGATTTCTACATAAAACACGGACTGTGACAAGTACCTACCACATGAGAACAATGTACGTACTGGGAGAAAATAAAGATTAAATCCCTGCTTTGCACAGTGTCTACAGGAGCCCCAAAGCACTCTGTCCCTGATAACACAATTGTGGCTAATTTAGATTTTAACTGTTTACAAAAAGGAAAGAATCTGATGTTGTTTTCCCAGCAATTAAGTTTTCAGGGTATTAGTTCCCTGAGTGAAATCTATTGTAAAGGAAATGTTTTTTTCCTGAATCACTGTATGACAATAAGCATGGAACATTACCCAACTCTTAAATTCTAGTCTTGTAGAAGAGCCATGATTTGACACTGAGTAGTGAACAGCAATTATCAAGTAGCTTTACTGGAAAAGAGGAGGAATAGGGAGCTGATTTTGTGTTTACGGAGACAGTTCCTCACTGTATTTGAATCAAGAGGACAGTGGCCTTGTACATAAAATGGGGTTTTATAGTGCTAGTACTGTAAAAATGCAATATCAGTGAGGAAGCAAAGCCACATACTGTTTACCACTTAACTGCCTGACACTGTAACACACACGTGTTTTTGTTTAGCAAGAGAATTCATTCATGCTAAATCTCAATAGCCCCTGAGTTTTGATCCAAACTGATTGAGCTGGAAGCCCAAATGCATTGGAAAGCTTTTTTTATTTCTTCCTATTGTCACATGCTATTGCATTTCCTTACCATGGGCTGAATACTGCAGTCCCTAAGCCACTGGGAGTTTTGTTCATTCAGGATCTGGACTTTTGCCAGGGCCAGCAGCAGAAACGTCAATATCACAAGGAGGGGCTGTTTTTTCATGTTGTTTCACTCTAACCTTTTGCAGTTTTTTCCATCTTCTCTGTACAGTAATTGTTCAGTGCCCAGTGGCGAACAGAAAAACACATTTTTAGAAGCCATAAGGAAAAGGAGGGAGAGAGAGAGAGAACCTCTGCTGGGCCTGTCATGTTGCACTAATGGTATGCTTTGATATTGGATACTGTGGTCAATCTTCATTACTTAGCTCAAAGGTATTGTACCAGGAAAAGGGCAATGAATGCTGATCAGAGGCAGGAATATTTTATTGAAAGATTGAAATTATGTGGACTGTGCTTTGCAGAAAGGAGATGCATTGATAAAGGTTTATGAGATAATAGGTACTATAAGGAAAATCAGCTGGGTTTCTTTACTGCCTTCTCATGAGAGGGACAGGAAAAGAAATATGCCGTAAAATGGAGAGTTCAAACAAATAAGAGGAAATACTTGAAACCTAAAGCATAATTAATGTGTGGAACAAGAAGACAGCAGAAATCATGAGCACTTTGAAGTTAGCTGTTTTGCCTTTGATTTCAGTGGGACAGAGACTTCACCCTAAGAAGTGAGTTGATGAAAATAATATCTGCAGTTAAAGGGAATAGCACTCAGAAGGGGCAGCAACTCTTGCTTCAGAATAAAAGTCAAATAGTACCTCTCACAAGTAGAGTGATACTTCAGCTCTGGGGTAGGGTCCTAGTTGCCACAAAATGGAGGAACTTTTCTGACGTCGGAGGTAGTGTCTATTGAAGGTGAGAAAAGGATATAGAGGCGCCATTGTATTTATTTTTTATGTCAGTTCTTCTCTTTTGTCTGTCTAAAATCAGGATTTGTCTGGAACGATAGCAAATACAGGAGCTGATCCCACTTTTCCCCAAATTATTTTCCATATCCAAAGGTTTGGATTCTAGGGGATAAATATGCAGACTATTCAGTACTAAATATTTTTCCTGTTGCTACTGGTGATAACCTTTTCCAAAAAGGAGCATATAAATTTAAACAGAACATTAGTACTGGGCAAAGCAAATCTAAGTAGCGATGGAACTTAGCCTCAGTCCTGATCTCCACCCAATTCCAAATACTGCTTGTGTTGGTAGGAAAGAAAGCCAGTAGTTTGGAGCGTTCTAGTTTTTGTCCTGTCCTTACATTGCTCGGCAAACCAATGAATTACATTTGCCTTAAACACAGTCACAGTTTTCACATTTTGTCACATTCCAGACAACAGTTATGTTGCACAGGACAATCCATCTCCTCATTGCTGCTAAGCCAGGACTGGATTAGTCATCTCTGTCTTGGATTTCTCAACTTTCACTCTGCCCTTCCATCTGCCAAAACATAGCAACATGGCACATTGAGTCACCCTATAAACACAGTTAATCCAGTATCATTCTCCAGCAATGGCTAATAGCAGTGCTTCAAAGGGATTACCTTGTTAAAAAAACAAACAAACAAAAAAAAAACCCAACAAACACCAACCCAAAAACAAAAGAATCAAGAGAGAGCTTGCTTTCAGAAAGCATTTCTTCTGAGTACCTTATGGGTAAGAGTAGGCTGGCACTCTGAGGTTTTGTATGTATTCCAAAATTGTCGAAGCTTTTTACATCATGATTGGATAGTCCTGTTTTAGCAGAAGTTAGAGCTGCTCCATAATGGATAAGTATTGCATTGTGTCAAATTAGGTAAATCTCTTTCTAATTCCTTTCGTCACTTAGTACCTAGTTTTTGCCAGGAAGCAAAGAATATTTTTTTTCCTCTAGAGATGAAATGAATCCTGTGTAATGTAACTTTAATTTATCAATTTCTGGCTCCCATTAAGCTTTTCATTTCAGGAGTATCCAGAGGCAATAAGTTTCATGTGTTACATAAAAATTTACTTGCTTGTAATGGTTTAAAATTCACTGCCTTTAAGACTTGTTCAGTTCTTATACTAGGAAAAATGTCCTAATCTTCAAGTCTCCATAGAATCCTTTTCTCATAGAATGATTCTCATAGAATCATTTCTCACTGATGTCATCCTCTATCTTCTACATACTTTTATCTTTTCTTCTTTTGCCCCTCCTTTCTCTCAGCTTCATGCTGCTTTCATATGTTTGGATTGCCTCCTTTCTCTTCAGATCTTTTTTCTTTTTTTTTTTTTAAATCCACTCCCTTTTGTGAATTTTATTACCTGATTCTTTCATAATGGTATCCAGCTCTGCAGCTTTCTAGACTGTTTTCCAGTGAATTGCCTTCCTGTGAGTTAATATAAATTTCTAGACCTTGTCTTTTCAAATACATTTGTGTTGCATGATATGCACTCACACTCTGCATGATTACTAAACTTATTCTGGTGTCCTGATTTGTTGTAGTGCCTCAGAGATAAGCAGTAAAATATTGTTTATATAGTTCTATGGAAGAGGGTCTAATACTAAATGTACACCCATCAAAAAGTATTTTTGCCTCATCTTGAGAACATACCCTGGAACTCTATGAAGAATATGTTACTGTATACGTACAATTCTTTGTTTACAGAAAAAATAGCCCACATGATCTACATAAGTATTGTATTAAGACCATATGATTGAAAAATTACAGCACCAAGTTCAAAGAGCATTGACTGTAGCCATGCTGCGGTATATGAGGCAGAGCAAGAATGGTACCCTTTTAACAGTGTTGTGGGTTGTGTTTGTTATTTTAATATTTTTGTACTGGGTATATAGAGTATGTGTAAGTGATTATGCTGGGCTTAGAGAAACACTACAGAATATTTGTGTCAGCTACGAAGTTGCTAAATATCTGGTAGTGAAGAAAAGGTCCATCAATTTTTTTAAAGCCATTGACCAATACACAGAGTACTAAAAATATTATGTGAGCTCCCCTGTATGGTGTCATTCTAATTCAAAACAAATATTTTTAAAAGTTATGACTTTACCTCTTCTTTCCACATTTCCAGTCACATAATGTTCCTTTTTCATCTGACTTTGCATTCCTTTTGATTTATATTCCCCTGAACTGTAGGCTGACATAAGGGGCTCTTTAGGTTGAATGAAAGGAGAATTATCAATTGCCAAAACTATGATTCATCAGGAAAAAAGTAAAGGGTAAAAGAAAAATGAACTTATTCTGCATACAAAAATCATATGAAAATTTTCTCTGCATTTGTCATGAGTTCAGTATAAAAGGTGTATTTAGACCTGTCTGGGTTTATATTTTATTGTGAGTCCATGTTGGAATCTGTCATATTTGTTGCTTCTGCCTTCTCCTTTGCTCCTTGAACAGATAGATATGAATAAATGGAAGTATTGAAAAGGTTAATATATTTAGTCTATCTGAGTATCAGTGTCAGAATTTGCTCCATGTTTTATACTCTGGCGCAGGCACCACTTTCTACAGCAGCCTGATCACACTCTCACTGAAGTCAGGGGAGTTTTATCCTTCAGCATTTTACAGATAGCATGCATGGTCCTGTCTTGGTTGCTGAGTTTGTTGGTTTCGGTTTTGGGTTTGGTTTGGTTTTTGGATTTTTTTTGTTTTGGTTTGTTGTTTGTTTGGTTGGGTTTTTAATTAGCATTGTCAGTGGTTGATGATGAATTACACACTCTCTTCTCTTGGATGTCTATGCCATAATAAGATGACTTTACCACATTTATAGGTACAGTTGTCATTTCAACTGCAAGGCTTTAGGAGTAGCTACTTCTGAGTATTTGTCACTCCTGGTGCCTGACAGAGGCAAAGCTACTTAACACAGGCTGCTGCTTAGCTCTGCACTAAGTAAGTCTTGAGGACCCTTCCCATTTCTACTGCTTTACTTTATCTCTAAGGCTGTGACAAGCAGAATGAAGCTGAATGGATGGGCTTTATTTGTGCTGTTGAAGATAAAGCTCCAATAGCAGCTCTCTTGCTCCTAACTTCTGCAATACTGTAGCTTCCAACACTGACTTTAGTCATAATGCACACCACATACGTTACTCACTACCGTTATGTTGACAGCAAGATCAGACTAGATTATTTTACAGGTTTCTCATGGGTGAAACTGTATAATCTGTAACATAAATATCTGCCTGGTAAGACACAAAACACATTGCTTCTGGTGCTTCATCAGATCTGATGACACCCTGCTCATAAGTTGCAATAGATAATGCTGGAATCAGCTGTAGCATCCGAAACAATCTAGGACTTACTATCTTTGGGAGGTGAATTTTCTTCCATGTTTTTAAATCAGTCTGTACTTTCAGAGCGGTGTCTAATGTTAAGTAGCTTGGAGCGAGTGACTGAGGGATCTTAGCTGAGGATTCCTGATCTTGGATTTTGTTTTTTCAACAGAACCACAGGTTTTAAGCCCAGAACTTGTTCTAAAGTCTAATTGACCTGTCAAAGAGAAAAATTTAACCTGTAACTCCTGTACTGATGGCAATAACTTCTGCTCCAGGTAAAACTTATCTTTCAAAATAAGCACCAAATACGAGTGTAAAGACATTATTCCACCAATCTTGAAAACTTTCTGTATCCTCAGATAGATTGTTACTCTGGTTAGTTACCATTTCTTTTAAAAGTTGCTGTGTCTGGATATATATTTGCTTTTATTTCTGTATTTGTCCAGAACAGCTTGACTATTACTGTTATGGCACAGTAAAGGACCATCATCACTTCCCCAGCATTTTTTGTGAAGATCAGTAAGGGGCACCATGGGGTAGGAGGTGTCATGGAGCTTTATTGCATGACCCAATATTTGGTTGCTTTGGAATTTTTCTGATGACCTCAGTTTAAGCACTGGGAAAATAACTGTTAGGTCTACAGTGTCTGTACCAGATAGTAAGTAATTTAGCTCCATAGCATTAGGGAGTGGAAGGCATACCTTAATCCTTAAGAAATGGGTATAACTGAGATCGCAGGTACTGTATTTATGGTGCAGTTGATTGAGGGGACAAGAGCAGCTATACGATTGAACTGTGTGACAGATTGCCTCCTGACCACAGGGCTGTTCTCTGAATGGATTGTCTGTAAAGGCTGTCTGAATATGTAAAAAAAAGCCACTATGCCTGTGAATGCATAAAACAGCATGTTGAGGCTCACACAATGGCATGTACAGTAGGCTTGGTCCTGAGAGCAGCCACTGACTGACCCTGAAGCTGAGATGTGCTCAGGGAGGTAACATTTTCCAGGGTCCTTTCCTCGTGTATGCTAATTTTTGATCCAGAGAATATCTAATCATTTCCCCAGACAAATTAATACTATATCCTTTGTTTCAGTTTGGATTTCCCAAAAGAAACAGCCTCTTCTGGAATTTCAGTCCCAAGCAATTGTCCAAAATCATGTTCCAAGACAGCCATACAACCACTAACATAATCCAGAATTTCCATTCTGGTTCTTTCCTTTTTCCTCAAGATCTTTTGAGCTGATCATAAATTTTATCTTTTAATTCATAGAGTGAATCTTAAAAGACTTGACTCAAGTAAACATTCAAGAGGTAATAATAGCCAGACCTTTGCAGGTTGCATTCAAGAACAGGAGTTTTAAAGTTGGGGTTTTTTCCTATTTCTGGCTGAAACAAAGAACCCTAAATGCATAAAATGGGTAGAGGAAAAATATTAAGATCTTGACAGTATCATTTTAGGCTCAGCGTTAATCTTGGGCAAAGGTGTAAACTACCTATAACTTACCAACCTACCTATTACCTTACCAACCACATCTAATACACACCACTCACTGTAAAGCAGTAACAATCTTCCCCAGCTCATTTTGTGACAGAAGACTATTGAATACAGACATCTCCTTCCAGCTCTGATAGTGACCTGCTGCTTTGACAGGTTTGCTTCCCCTCACTTCTGAACCCTTGTTCTCACAAGTGAAAACAGGCTGTCGCTGTCGCCTTCTTTCTTGGATGGGTGGAGATTTCTCTGATGAAAGTACTAGGAGATAATTAATTTTTTTTTAAATGGAACAAAGAACAAAATTGTTAACAACTCTCTTAGAAAACGATAAGAATTTGCAGGTGTAAAGTAATGATATCCTACACCAACCCATCCCATATTATGCAGAATCTGTTGCACACAAACTTTATTCCATATGATAAAGCATGCAAGTTATTTTACAGTGTACAGTATGTGTCATACTGTAATATGGACAGCATAGATATTCCCTTCTAACAGCACTAGGCAAATAAAAGCAGCAGATCATATCACTGGTGCTCTCTAATAGCAAGGCACTGTAAAAGTGATGAAGAGGCCATCATCTGTTGGGTCACTCCTTCAGCATAAATTGAGGCAATCTGACAGCTTTATGTCATCTGTTCACAGCCACAGGCTGGCACAGTGGTTGAGGAGAGGAGTGTTTTGTCTCCACCTCCGCCCTGACAGCAATGCTGCTGCAGAGGAGCAGCACGGGGTGCTCCAGCAACCTCTGAGCTCACTGTGTCTCCCAAGGGGCTGCTCGCCAGGAGGTGTGCGCTCAGCTCGGAGCATGCCAGCTCCACTTCAAATGAGGTTACACTGGCAGTATGGATCATATATCATCACTATGTGTGTGCTATACTAGCCTGTATGTTTTTCTGTAGGCTCATACTGTATGAATCAGTTACTAATGAGGCTCATAATAAAGGGTGCTATTAAGTGAACACTGCATTAATAATCGTGGCAAGGTTTCAAGTCTACAGATGTTATTTATAGTATATGACTAAACAAATACATATCCCCTTTGAGGCTGAGACTCTGGAGCAATTTACTGATTTCCGGTATGGGCTAGTTCATACAGAGACTGAAGTAAATAGTGCATTTGGATGTCTTGCTTGGAACTATGCTCTGAAACTGGAGTAGAAAATCATATTAATGTTTAATTTTAAAATGGTTTGGAAATGTGTGTGTGTTTTCAGAGGATTAGATACTACCCCTATGTGGTTCTCATGCAGAAATGCATTTTTCTGCATTCCTTCTTTAAAGAAAAACAAAATATTCAAAGAATATAGCCTGCAGTTACATAGCAGAGCTGAAATGAGTTAGAAAGGTTAGAAACAATTCTGGAAAAAAGTTGCCTTAGCAAAAGCTACCAAAAAAAAAAAAATCCCATATCCTCTCCTTTTCATCTAGTTTTAAAATTAATTAATTTTTCTTATTTATGAAGATTATTTTCCAGTGAGAGAGATTTTGTAGATATAATGTACTTTTGAGTAATGAATCATTTGATTTGGGATTTTGTTTCTTTTCTGCCTCTCATAATATTGCAGGTTTAGAGAGGCCTTCAAAACTGAAGAAAGCTACAAACTCACAAAAGTCTCTGGTCTACTCTGCTGGCTTTCACATGTGTCAGGAGAAACAGGAGAAATATTATATAGCAAACTACAGGTGTCCTAAATTAAGGTACTTCTATGCAAAGCATCTTTGTTTTAACTCATAATGCTGATAATTGAACGACAATAATTTACTTCAAATTTCTCATATAATTTAAAAATCAAGTAGCAATGACAGTGAATAGACAGACAAAAATATAGTTTGTGAAACACCTCTGGTTTTATCTCTTTCTGTTTACTCTTTTGAATTCTCAAATTAAAACAGTTGAAAATGGTACATACTGACATGTAAGAAAAGCTGACTGTATGATGCTTAAGTAATTTGCTATAAAAATATCACTTACCATTGCCAAGTATCTTCTTATTTGAGTCCAGTATTATCATGCCTTCTTAGATATGAAATATGCAGCAGAGTCAATTCCCATCATGTTAAATACTTGACAAAATAATAAATGCAGTGTAACTCCACAGTGTTTGGATATTTGACTGTAACTCCTAAGCATTCAAAGTGACTACTCAATGTAACAACTTTTCCTCTGCAGAAAATGCCTTGCTGTTTGCCAGCAAATCTTTAATGCTTTAGATTGGGTATTTCCAACTACCGCCCTACTTGCTAGGCAGATGTGTATAAAAGAGATGTTATTTCACTGAATCAACCACTGAGATCGTAACCCTTTTCCCGTACCACAAACAGAAATGTAAAACCTCAGACTTTCCTTTTGGACTTTTACTGACTTGTGTCTGTTGTAAGAAAGCAAAACACAACTAGTCCAAGGGCTAATATATGGAAAGTGTGTTAAAATGTTTTAGATCATCTCATTGCTTCTCATTCCTGCAATTCATTGGTTAACTGGCTCGTTCTGTGTTTATGTAGTTGCATGGTACAAATACAACACCTAAACTTCTTGCCCAAAGTTGAAGTGACTCATTTATTACTTTTTACC